TGCAATGAATGATATGGGATCATTTAATCCAAATTCCCATGCAGACTGGGTCAAATTAGCAAACGTTATTTGGAACACAAAATTTGCCAAAGGTGAATTGAAAAATTATATTCGAAAATTGCGACACTTTTGGAACAAGAACTCAAAAAACCTAAAAGGCAATGAAACATCAATTCCTGACACATCGGGTGATGAAGGATTTAAAAATACCAAACGGGATGAACCTTCTTCTGCCTTTTCTCCTGAAACTAAAATTATAAATTCGACTGCCAAAATTTGTCATAAAAAAAACACACCGCCTACGCCGCCCACGACCTTAGAAGAAAGCTGCGAAAACAGAACATTCCTGTGCCTTCTGATGGTGAATTAGACCTAGGGACATCGGATGAACTTTTACCAGATGAAGATTTGAGCGAGATAAATCCTTTTACGGAATTAATGAATTGCGACATTTCGTCAGCCATTGAAATAGCAAGTAATGCAGAAATTTTGGGTTCCAACAATTTTTACTGCCCGGAAATATTGTCCAAATTTAAAACGTTCTATGTCCCGAAGATATGTCTCTGGGGAAGTTTGATGGTAGGTGATTTGGGAAGATATGGTAATTCAATTGGCTATTTGAAATATTCGACTTTTTATGCAAAAGTCTCAGCTTTTGAGAAACAAAACATATCGCGAGATAATCGCACTAAAGGAATCATGGAAAAAAGTCAGCAGGAACTAAAGCGAACTCGTTTAAACAACAGACGATTTAAACGTCTTGACGAGATTGCTATAGTTTATGATGAACTCCATGACTCTCTGATTAGGAAATATGAAGATAATTTGATTGTTTGTCAAAAAAAAAGGAAAGTTGAAAACAATGACCAAATTGACCAGGAAATTGAAAAATGGAGTAAACGATCCCGAATTCAGGGTAAAGACAAATGTAAAGGAGTGTATCTTCAGCCCCCCATTAGACCTCTAAAGATGTTTCGCCCTCAAGAACTTTCTAATAACGATAGCCCAATTCTAATAAAAGCTGACGAAGCGTCTACTACACAATCTATGATGTTGCGGCTCGTCTCACCGAAAATTCCATTCCAAAAATTTGTACATTTATCTGATGTCGATCATAAAATAATGAATTCCAAAACTAATTTTAGAAGAGACTGGTTTACTTCGGATATTATGAACACCGCACAATTAATTTTGTCATCTCGGTATTCTGAAGTAGACGGGTTGCAAAGCACGACTTTTTATACAACGCTATCTGGCCCTAAAGTGTATGTTCCTTCTGAAAAATTTGTTCAAATTTTATTTGTGCACGAAAATCACTGGGTAACAGCATCAAATATATTCACCGCCGACCAAAATACTATACAGATTTATGATAGCTCCTATATGAAGTACAATGAAAATGACAAATATGCGATTTCGCTTCTTATGCGGCCAAGGCAAGGAACAAATAAAGTACAAATTGAATTCCCCGTTGTCCAGCAACAAACTTTAGGTGCATCATGTGGCCCATTCTCGATTAGTTTTTGCATAGCCCTATGTAACAAAATATTTAGGGTATTTAACATCAACAAGAAACGTGTTATACCCGCGCCCAGGCGATTGGAAATTCCGATTTTTTGCAACTGCCAACTGTCTTACATTGAAAATCAGACCATGATCGAATGCACTTCATGTTTGAAATGGTACCATCCGAAATGTTGTAGTATTCCAGTGCCAGTTGAGGCACTGGACAACTGCGAAATAGAATGGAATTGCAAAAAGTGCATTCGATGCTAAATTACATGCAAAGCAATATTCAACTAGATATGATCATTTACATTCTCATTTTTTTTAGGTACATCATTCAAGTCAGACGAAGGATCAGTCTGTTTTACCTATTTGGCTTAACATGCCCTTTGCCAGGTTTTTCTCTCTTGGTCTAGTCTATAATATTGAGATGAAAACCGCCACGATGGTTGGCACCTTGACGTGGTGTGGGGCTTTCTACTAAGACCAACCATTTTAAAAAAATTTTTTAAATATAAGATAGATCCCTAGTATGAAAGAACGAGATGATTTCACAATTCGTTCATGCTACTTACTTAAATTGAGGCACGCCATTATAATGTATACAGTATCCTGGGTTGTGATAGCGTTGTTTATTAATTTTAAGTCGGATTCTTGTTTGGGCCATGTTTGACAAGATAATATTATACGTTCCCGACATACAATTTTCCAAAGCCTTGGTTCGAGGTTATTTCACAATATGTTCTTTTGGGATATTTTATTCAAAAGTGGGGCACGTAATCGAAAAGTCCAAAATTTTGGGTTAAAATGCCGATATTCACTAATTTTGATGTAAAATTCCTGTTTGGGCCATGTTTAACAATATATTAATATATGTTCCCGACATACAATTTTTCTCAAACTTGGTTCGAGGTTACTTCACAATATGTTCTTCTAGGATATTTTATTCAAAAGTGGGGCACGTAATCGAAAAGTACAAAATTTGGGGTTGAAATACTGATATTTAATAATTTTGATGTAAAATTCCTGTTTGGGCCATGTTTACCAGGATATTATTATATGTTCCCGACATACAATTTTTCTCAAACTTGGTTCGAGGTTACTTCACAATATGTTCTTTTGGGATATTTTATTCAAAAGTGGGGCACGTAATCGAAAAGTCCAAAATTTTGGGTTAAAATGCCGATATTCACTAATTTTGATATAAAATTCCTGTTTGGGACATGTTTAACAAGATATTAATATATGTTCCCGACATACAATTTTTCTCAAACTTGGTTCGAGGTTACTTCACAATATGTTCTTTTGGGATATTTTATTCAAAAGTGGGGCACGTAATCGAAAAGTCCAAAATTTTGGGTTAAAATGCCGATATTCACTAATTTTGATGTAAAATTCCTGTTTGGGCCATGTTTAACAATATATTAATATATGTTCCCGACATACAATTTTTCTCAAACTTGGTTCGAGGTTACTTCACAATATGTTCTTCTAGGATATTTTATTCAAAAGTGGGGCACGTAATCGAAAAGTACAAAATTTGGGGTTGAAATACTGATATTTATTAATTTTGATGTAAAATTTCTGTTTGGGCCATGTTTAACAGGATATTATTATATGTTCCCGACATACAATTTTTCTCAAACTTGGTTCGAGGTTACTTCACAATATGTTCTTTTGGGATATTTTATTCAAAAGTGGGGCACGTAATCAAAAAGTCCAAAATTTTGGGTTAAAATGCCGATATTCACTAATTTTGATGTAAAATTCCTGTTTGGGACATGTTTAACAAGATATTAATATATGTTCCCGACATACAATTTTTCTCAAACTTGGTTCGAGGTTACTTCACAATATGTTCTTTTGGGATATTTTATTCAAAAGTGGGGCACGTAATCGAAAAGTCCAAAATTTTGGGTTAAAATGCCGATATTCACTAATTTTGATGTAAAATTCCTGTTTGGGACATGTTTAACAGGATATTAATATATGTTCCCGACATACAATTTTTCTCAAACTTGGTTCGAGGTTACTTCACAATATGTTCTTCTAGGATATTTTATTCAAAAGTGGGGCACGTAATCGAAAAGTACAAAATTTGGGGTTGAAATACTGATATTTATTACTTTTGATGTAAAATTCCTGTTTGGGCCATGTTTAACAAGATATTATTATATGTTCCCGACATACAATTTTTCTCAAACTTGGTTCGAGGTTACTTCACAATATGTTCTTCTAGGATATTTTATTCAAAAGTGGGGCACGTAATCGAAAAGTCCAAAATTTCAAGTTAAAATGCCGATATTCACTAATTTTGATGTAAAATTCCTGTTTGGGCCATGTTTAACAATATATTAATATATGTTCCCGACATACAATTTTTCTTAAACTTGGTTCGAGGTTACTTCACAATATGTTCTTCTAGGATATTTTATTCAAAAGTGGGGCACGTAATCGAAAAGTACAAAATTTGGGGTTGAAATACTGATATTTATTAATTTTGATGTAAAATTTCTGTTTGGGCCATGTTTAACAGGATATTATTATATGTTTCCGACATACAATTTTTCTCAAACTTGGTTCGAGGTTACTTCACAATATGTTCTTTTGGGATATTTTATTCAAAAGTGGGGCACGTAATCGAAAAGTCCAAAATTTTGGGTTAAAATGCCGATATTCACTAATTTTGATGTAAAATTCCTGTTTGGGCCATGTTTGACAAGATAATAATATATGTTCCCGACATACAATTTTTCTGGAACTTGGTTCGAGATGACTTCACAGTATGATTTTTTGAAATATCTTATCTGAAAGTGGGGCACGTAATCAAATAGTACAGAATTTTTGGTTAAAATGCCGATATTTACTAATTTTGATGTAAAATTCCTGTTTGGGCCATGTTTAACAAGATATCATTATATGTTCCCGACATACAATTTTTCTGAAACTTGGTTCCAAATGACTTCACAATATTTTTTTTTGAGATATCTTATCTAAAAGTGGGGCACCTAATCGAAAAGTACAAAATTTGGGTTAAAATGCCGACATTTATTAATTTTAATGTGAAATTTCTTTTTACTCATGTTTGACAATGTAATATTATATGTTCCCAACATATAAATTTCATAAAACTTGAATTAGTATGACTTCAATATAAGTTTTTTTTTTTTATATCATCTTCAAAAATCTGCCCGGCCATCGGAAATTACAGATAAGTTTTGTGTAATTCCGAGTGTAGCAAAATTTCGCCGTAAATCTGGCAAGTACTTTGCGACTAGCTTTCCTTTTTTCCGACGCGGCATTTGAGTGTCATGTTAAATCGTTTTCTGGCAACACTATTTTACCGTTCCGAAAACGAGAGAGATGTCCGCTGAGAGATGTCTGCTAGGGTAACTTTGGTAGTATTTAGCCGATTACGGATTTGAAATGTGTTTGTGATATATTTTAGTGTATGTAAGTCTGAGTATTAAATTCGAGTAGTGAAATACTGACCGACTTGTGTGATGTTTGCAGGTTTAATTTCGGTATTTCTGTGTACTTATGCATATTTTGATATTGGTTTATTTTATACAATACTCAACACTATGAACATGGTTTCCATTGGGATTTATCAGCAATGATGATTGATTTGCCGTTACCTACATAAAAGACTTGGATTTATACTTGATATATGATAACTGTGTTCATTTTGATGGTATAGTGTTCTGGATTTTATAACCGCTGTCAAATGTGCAATGCATTATGAAGATAATGAAATCAAAGTTGCAGATTACTTTGTTGTAGCAGGATTGACAGATACATCATGTGTTCAAGATGTAGAGTTGCCATTTCCAACAACAAACCACAAAATAAATTCAAAGACAAAGGACCCTATTACGGATATTTGCATCATTGATAAGTATGGAACATTTTATAATAACTAGTTCAGTACTGTTCAATCTCATTCTATAACCCAACAGTGCACCTCAGAAGATGCATTTCAAAAAGAGATGAAAACTTTATATTGTACGTTTGCAGTTATATTATTACATCTTTGTAGGTAGTAGATGAAGTTTATTGTATTTAGTAACATCAGATATGAGGTCAAATAATATTTTTCATAGGAGTTTGATGTGTGTCTCTTATACAGTTCAATATTGGTTGAGTAAAATAAACTGGACATAACCAGATGAAAATAGTACATAATCATACAAACTTACACATAAAATTTGTTGAAAGTAAAAACACAAATAATTTTAAATTGATGTTAGGGACTATATCCTTAAAGACACCATGCAATGCCTTAAAATTGTAGGGCAATAACAAGTTAGGCGAACACTTTATATATTTAGATGATAATATCATATTATTCCAGCAAGTTTGTAGAATATTGTTCCATATATAACAATGAAATCATTCGACAATAAAATGATATCAATAATCATTATAGCATTGCCTAATGTGTCAATATTTTTATGCTGTGTTTTTTATTCCTTTCAGTCTTAATCCGATTAAATATAAGTGTTCATATCATTTTATTATTTCAAACTTGTATTTTAGAACTCTTGATGAACAATGTCCTCAAGGATTTACCTGTATCGATAAAACACCATCTGGATTGCTTGCAGATCTTAATCATGGAAGTTTTACTGCCCATAATATTTTTTTATGCTATCGAAGGGGGAGAGATAGACCACCATTGGTCGACCTCGGGTAAGATTTTTACTTTTGTAATAAATCTAAATCTATTTAAACCTATTTTTTAGAATATTTTCGAATAAAAAACGAGGGGTCATTTCACGATTGCATGTTTATTGTGGTCTTAATTGCACTTCTGATGATATTATGTGTAATAATATTATTTTACAGTGTTTATTATGAGGGTTTGGAGACCGTAAAAAATGGTATTTCGATTGTTGAAACTACACCTTCTGGGAGAACAGCCAACGTGAATAACAAATCTGGTAAATATTTGTTTTGAATCATGATGATATAATATGCTATATTATTTTAGATGAAAGCAACATGTATTACAAATAACAACTGAATTGAAAATAACAAAACATGCATGGACAAATTCATGTCAACTTACTTCAATAAATGAAACAAAATAGAAAATACTTGACCCAGTGATTAAGTTTTCTACTTGTCTGTTGATTATGATTTGAGGGACCTTAATGTATTTTATTATTGAATTGATTCATGGTTATATTCTGATTTTTTATCAAAAATTTTGAAATGACAGTCCAGGTTGATGCATATTATTAATTTTTTTTTTAACTCATTAAAACTATAATTTCATTTTATTAGGAATGGGTAGTTTTCCAATCTATCTCACATACAGAAGAGCAGAAGCATCGGCACCTCAGAGCACGTTGGTTGTCACAGATATTTGTGTTATTTTGACTAATAAAAATGAATACCCCCCTTATGCATATTGTCTCATTGACAAAAATCTTAATAAGGGCATGGTAAGTTTGACTGGCTTAGTTTTATGGTTACTGAATTTGACTATGCAGTGCTTAACCTGATTTAGTGATTGTTTGTTTGATATAAAGAGACCAGATATGGATTGTTCTCTTTTATTTTACTTTGGTGTTTAAACATTGAGCAATTTATTTTGTTTTTGTAATACTTGTATGCATTTATAATTGTTTTATTTTGCAGATTGGGTCCAGTGTGTTTTTGTGCTATAAAAAGTCTATGAGACAAGTCAACTCAATTGCATTTAAAGCAGGTAAATTTGGTGCAGTTTTTTGTGCTGGTCTGTACATGATCTTCAATTTGATTTTACTAAAACATTTTAATTCACTAGATGAAATCAATCAATCCCAAATGGTTGTTGACAATTGTTGATTAAAAATACTTGAAATGTCTTGTTTAGGTTGTATTCTGCAAGACTGCAACACACTGAAGTTTATTTTTAACAGCATGATTCGAACATAGCCGAGGTATTGCTCATTGCAAGTAACAAATATCATACACTGGTTTTGTTAACAGGTTTACTTGGTCGATATCCAGCTGAAGATAATGAAAGTTTTGTACTCCCTGCAACAGTACCTTTGTTTTGTCTACCTATGGGTGCTACTATTGAATGTTGGTCGAAGAAAACAAAGCATCCTCTGCCATCATTTTCATCTTTTGTACTCACAACTGAAAAATCAGAAAAAGTGAGTTTAAGACCCCACTTATCAGTATACTATTTAGTAAAATGTTGAAAATTTTTAATATACCTACTGTGCACTCAACTAAATTGGAATCTGTATTTTGTGTTTTTTACCAACGGATGTTTAGTAAAAAATTTATCTTCTTTGTTACTGCTAGATATATGGTGCTGTTGTTTCATTCTATGAAAATTATCCTGAAGATAAACTAAAAGAAGATCACAAGTATACCCTTGGATTATTACGAGCTGATGGTCATCGGAGCAGTCAAGAAAAAACAATTCACACGATCAAGGCAATTTGTATGCTATCAAGATGGCCTCTGTTTGACGCTTTTCGCGATTTCTTAATTTACCTGTATCGGTTAACAGTGTCACCTATCGCTCATATTGTGCCTATTGAAAGGTGAGTGTGTTGCATTTCGGATCATTATTTTAGTGATATTGTCACCTAAGGGTTCACTCATATTCTTGACTGGTGCTAGAAATGAAGCTATGTGCCCGCAGTGAATATTTACAAGATCTGTTCAGGAGTGAGGAGCCAAAGCTAATACGATGTAAAAACATACTAATCTACACAACTGAAGTTGTTGATTTTTGGTCTTGCAGTGGTTGGAAATAAAGAAATAATGAGACAAGATATGCTATATATATATGTCTTACTAAATCTCTACCTAAATAAGACTACCAATTATATTATTGTGCATAGTTAAAAAAGCTATGCTGAAAAGAATTTTTTGGTATGCAATAATATCGAACTCAATGTATTCTATTTTCTGTATGTTATAAATTATTTATGAAGTTAATTATCTAATACAATATTCTTCTCTGTTATATTATTTTATCTTTGGTATTTGGCCATTTCTCCATTTCATGTCATGCCACCTGATGTTAGTTAATGCCCTAAAACCTGTTAACTTGGGTTGGCAAACATATGATTTCTCAGATATTTTAATCCACGCTCCCGTCATTTTTTTAAATAAAGTTTTCAACTTATTTATTTTAAAACATAGCTACAACTGCTTATTGGCACTCGTAAGGTGACATCATATCTGAAAATATATAATTTTGCAGACATATTGCCCACTTCATGAATAATGTGCCATTTCCTTCACCACAAAGACCAAGAGTTCAATATCAGGTACTTTTTTGTAGTTGGTAGTGATTGTTTTATCCCACAAAAGTTAGTATTTATTGTAAAAACAAGTTTTAGCCATGTTGGCTTTGATCTTGAATCCTGAAAATAAGACCTAGCCTGAATTTTAAAAATGATTTTATTATAAGCCCTCCCCTAAAATAAGACCCAGTCGATAGTGCATAATTTTTTTTGACCTAGTCGATAGCAAAAAATCTCTCATACTCGTTTCAAAGGATTAATAATCTATGTTTAGCAGTTATTTTAAATAAAAATGTGTTATTTATAAGTAAGTGGATATCATTTTGAAAATCACGTAATTCTCTACTTTGTAAATTTGTTTTTGATAAATGAGAATAAAAGACATCTCCCAAAAATAAGCCCTAGTGTTGTTCTTTAGAAGAAATTTGAAATAAGACATTGTCTTATTTTCGGGAAAACACAGTTTATAATAAATGGGTTTTATTTTTACCCTGATATATACAATTTAGTGATTTTGCAGTCAAACTTCACTCTGTGTTGTGGTGTGTTTTGTGAAATAAAAATATTGTTAATATTGTGTAATGGACGCACTGATGTTAAATGTTGTGTAAATTGTATGTCAATGTTCTCAAGCCTGTAATTGTAATATTGTATCGAATAGGTAAGCTGCATTATTACTGACGAAACATTAATTTTCATTTAGATGTCTCCAATGCATGCTACAACTCTAACAAGACCACAGATAACTCCTATACCATTGAGGTAAAACTTTTTAAGTTTTTTACAGATATATGAATTTAAATTCATTTTGTACTTTGGCATAGTTTTCAATTTCTAACATGGAAATGAATTTGCTCTGTTATACTATGTTGTTGGTGTACATAATGTTCTAATTTTTTGATAGGGATCAGTGTTTAGATAAATTGCTTTCTAATTTCTTTGTTTGTTTACATATTCACATTGACATTCATGATTTAATATTCTGCTCAGGATTCACTTATTAAACATGATGTAAACCTTGATTTCATGGGACATGCTTTATCATAGATAAATTGTTACTTTTGATTTTTTAAATTTGAGGGCTTCAACCTAAAAAAGCGAAACCACAGAGAGCTGTTTTGAAAAAATGAGAAATGAGAAATTTTTTTTTCTAACTTTTTCATTGGAATTATTTGATTGAATATTGCTTCAAACTGTTATTAGACATTAAGGAGGCAATGTTTTTTGTTTATATTGACATTTTGTATGAGTATTCAAATTTTGTGAAAAAATTCAAATTCAAATATTTTTGTTTTTATATCATTATGGAGATTCAATTATGCCTTTATAGGTTTTGCTAAGTAACCTTGAGTGGGTATTCAGAAACTCTAAATTACATCATTGTTCACTTTGATTTTGCAACCTATATGTCATATCTGGCTAGGACAATATATTTTTTTTCATCTTTTTGCCCTTTCTAATTTGCCCCATATGAAGTACTTTTATTAAAATCAAATAATATATTGAGGTAATTGGGTAAATATTAAGATTTGCCTCCTTTTTCGTCCTTGTTAGCAAGGGGCATACTTTGCTCTTTTTCTCAAACTTGTCTTGAATACTCAATAGCTATAAGGAATGTGGACTGTTTAATTTGAAGAGATATTTCTTTACAATATTTTCGAACAAACATATTTTATTCAAATTTCTATATTCGTCCGTTTGTCTTGAGATGCTTGAATTGTTATTATAAAAGATATGGATAGATATAATATTTTGAAAAAATTAAATTATTATGCTCTAGTTTAAAATTTTAAATCCTTATTTCAAAAAACTGAAATGAGGTTTCAGTAGTTACACACAAGAAAGTGTTTTCGAAAGAGAATACATAGTAGTTATTAAGAAGATATATGTTTTTGGATTTTGACTAGAAAGGATTGAAATTAAAAAAAAGGAAAAATGGTCTTTTTTTTAATCTTTCAGCTAGCTGAAATAGAAAATAAATGAAGGAAATTTCTGATCCATAAGTGCATGACATTTCATTCTTGTTCAAATATGCTTTACAGTCTCACTAAATTTTCACATTGTCTAATTCTAAATACCGGTATAACTGATGAAGAAATCTTTGTATGACCTCGAATAAATTTGAAATGTTTTTGTGAATAAAATGTGAGATTTAAATAAACCTTGTCCTAAGTTTGATTCGTAATTTTCAATAATTCAGTGGAGCATCCTTCCTGGCGTTGCTTGATGATCTTGGAGCGGACAATACACTCACTCTCATAACACTCGCACTTACAGAGCACAAATTGGTTGTTCACTCACTCAGAAGGGCAGAAATTACTAGAGTTGCTGAAGCGTTAATAACGGTAATGCATTTTTCATTTCTCTTATATGGCAGATATTCCAAAGAGAATTGAATTCACTTGGCCGTCTCAGTTTTTCAACTGCTGTTATAATAAATAATTCATATCGAATTAATTTTGTGTCAAAATCAAGCTGTTCTTATCACAGTATACTTTTGCCCCCTTTTTCCTTTTTTAACAACACGATAAGCCTTATACTATTAGAATTTGCTATTTTGAATTGGCAGAAGAAAATAAAAATATTTTCAAATTTTCATACATCATTATTTCTCCTGAGAGCTCGATTGAATTTATTGGAAATAAATATACTTTATTAATAATATGTCTAGAATAATTCTGTTGCCACAAAATCTTGGTAATATTGATCATATTTCTCATTTATCTTGTCTCCTTATTTTGGACAAAAACGTTTGGACAATCACCTACCCATATGCTATTGCCACTCTAATCAATAGATGTGAACTGAAGCTAAAACTATATTATTTCGATATTGGAACTATCAGAATATGTTTATTAATGTTGGCCAAATGACAAAAATGATATTTCAATAAATTTCTATAAATCATTCAAAATTCAACAATACAATCATGTACTTAATTATCGGAATATCATCTGTGATAATATTGTATTTTCAGTTTAGTGTTCAATTAATTTCAAGCCATAGTTTTTTTGTTAGTGTCGATTCATGGTTTATCACACCACCTCCATAATATGCACTGTCATTCATTCTTAGATCAGTCATTTTTAAAAGGATAGCTCTTTTTATTTAGGGTAGTTATTTGCACACATTTCAATTTATATATTGGTTTTACAGCTTTTGTTTCCATTCAAATGGCAATGCACTTATGTACCTCTTTGTCCTTTGGAAATGGCTTATGTACTCGAGGCACCTTGTCCTTTTATAGTAGGAGTTGATTCTCGATATTTTGATATGTACGAACCTCCTCACGATGTTACATGTGTTAATCTTGATACAAATAGCATCACACAGTGAGTTAATTTTTATGATTTATTTGCATATCGCCAATCTTACAAGAGTCGTAACGTGTAATTTTTTTTGCTCGTTTTTAATGCTTGAGATGAGATTGTTTTGTACTGTAACATAAATTGATTTCCATTATACAGTCATGTAGTTGTACTAGGATGAAATCCAATCAGAACTCTATGCAATAGCATATTTATAAATTTTGCTTAGAAGGTTAAGGAGAAAGGCATTTAACTTGAAGAGTTGAAGTCCTCTGTAGTCTGGTGCTTAGGTTTGTACATCGATCATTAAAGCATTAAGTACTTTATATTGCACAATGCACATGCATTGAGAACTGCCCTAATACGTTTTGTACAATTTTATGTATTTTTCATATTATTGACTAATGACTATACTATTTTTGGCATCAAGTTTAAAAAACAACATAGGGGGAGTTGGGGAATTTATCAAATGAGTATTTACGGATATAATACATTGAAATATTGCTTCAAATGACAGAAAAGTTTTTGTTTTCAGGATGTATGAAAAGAAATATAGTTGGAAAATCTTGCCGAAAAAACCTGCTAAACATGCTCGAAATATTCTACAAAATCTATTCAAGGAGATTAAGCACTCATGTCCCCGTAGAAAAGATGATGAGGGTGAATATATCGGATCACTCGATCCTGAGTTGACAAGAACAGCAAGGCATATGCAGATCGAGATAATAATACAAGTATGTCATAAATATTTTTGAAGTACTGTTAACATGGTCTGATAGCTTTTATGGTTGTTATCTCCTTTTGGAAATTTACCTCAATTTAGTTCCTTATGAATATATATTGCATGTTACCTATCACTGTGTTTTAATACAACCATATACCCAATTTGAATAAATCTCATTTGAATACTTGTCTTTGACTTTTTCTGCATGCTATGAATGGTCCCGTTACGATTTTTAGGAAGACTCAATATTTTTAAAAACAATTTTGAAGCTATTTAATGACCTATGGTGTTGGTATTTATATTTAGAAAACATATGCTCAGAGTAAGAGTTATTTTTATTTTAAATTACTGCCTGATATTTGCATCATAAGTTTTCTTCTTTCAAAAGGGAAAAGATCACTAAAGGCAGAGTTGTGATTTCCCATTAAATCAGTGGCAGCAATGCTATTGTCGAATGCATGACATTAGTCTTGTTTATAGGAGGAAGTGGTTTTTACTCGAAACATTTCCCTTAAAGTAAATACTAATCAGTGATCACGCAGATCACCTATCATAAAATTATAACAGCCTTTTCCACATTTTTCATTGAGTCTTCCACATTCTAATCCTAAACAAGGCTCCATAGAAGTAACTTAAAATATGGGGAGGCACTGTATTTCATAGGATTCGATAATCCTATTGGTTCAGTATATCTACCCGCCATGGAAAACACTCTGAACATAGTATTTCAACTCTTGATCTTCAACCGAGCTGCATCAAAATTAAATTTAATTAATTTTCATAGGAGACAATATTAAAATTCATGGCAGTCCTTATGAAAGAATACAGAGAATATCTTTTGCCAATAACTGAAGCACCAAGTATTGGAACTACTGATCCCAGTTCATTGTTCAGCATTCAAGGTAAGAAATTTTTAAGTTTTATTTGTGGATTATTATGTAGCATCTCGGTGTTGTCTGTGTTAGTTTAACAATTGATTTCTAATTTAAAATTGGACAATTAAATTTATTCAGTCACTTAATGCTTTTTATCCATTCGTTTGTGCCAACCCATTTTATAATACTGGATTTCCTATTTTAAAATCATGAATATAAAATTTTATATTTGAAACTGATTATCGTATTGGAATAAATAGCATATTTTTAGGATTGTCTTGAATTGAGTGATGATAAAAAATTTGGCAGTTTTGTGTGTATGGTATTTTACTCCCAACTTGTGTTATAGACTGCCATCCTGAAATAGGTTGGACACTATGTGTATACATACAGGCTGCTGCAATATTATAAATGCAATTCAGATTTTATCAGATGTCAAGATAAAGCAAGTCAACGTTTCTTCACGTTATTAACTGGTACTCAGTTATTTGCCGCTTTTGTGGAAGCAAGATCTTTTGCATCATTTACTGGAGCTGATGGTGCAGGAAAAGCAGCAAGTCTTGTGTTTTTTGATGAGTGTATTGATAGACTCGGAGGAGAATTTCATGATAATGTGAGGTTGATTGAAGCAGATGATACTCTGAAGAGGTAAATAACAAGGCAGTAAATATCAAATTGTAATGTGAATATAATTTTATAGGCCTCTATTTGATAGGTATGTCTAATATGAGGTGAAAATGATTACCGGTAGATTCAATTCATATTTTTGAAAAATTTGTCATTTCAAGTGTTTGAAAATCAATTTCACAACTATTTCGGGCTACTTAGAACATATTCCGTGCTCAATATTCAAAAATATTACTTATGAATGTATTCGCAATAGTACATGATCTGTTTCTGCCCATCCCATCCATGGCCTTATACGTAGTTTTTAAAAAGTCTCACTTCGATACTTTGTAAACTTCTGTGATGTGTAGTTGAACATACGAGTAAAACTTATAACTCATACAGATATGGTTACACTGTTTTATAGATGACGTATAACGTTATTCAATATTTTTTATTGAATTATTTATGATTCATTCCCATGGGTTCATGCAGATAATGAAGAACCAGTAATTATCAAAACAGAATTCTCGCTACAAAATGAAAGTAAAGTCATTAAAATAATAATTATTCATCTCATTGAATAGGTTGAAACTAATTTGTACTCAGTTGGTGTTTTTAAGCGATATAACAGACATGGGCAAAGTACGGCCCACGGGTCAAATCCGGCCCGTTGGGTAATTCAATCTGGCCCGCTTGATGCTGCCAGAACCAAATTAAAACCAAATTTTTATGGTTTCGCTAAAAATAGCTCAAGGAATTTGTTGAGATCGTGGTTAAATTTAGTTTTGGCACGAGGCTTATTGTTTTCCACCTTTGCTTTATAACACTGTAAAAATTGTTCAAAAAATATAACTATTTGCGTCACACTTACATGGCCCGCCAGACTAGGTGGGCAAAATTTTTGACCTCTGATTCAAAAATGTTGCCCTCCCCTGCTATATACCTATGAGTTGGGGTTACACCGTACTGACTACATATCCATTCTTAATAATGCCTTTATAGGCATATCATTTTTTATGTGAATTGAATGTATTTTCTTTTTATATATATACAGTGAAAGAACAGTTTTCGTTATGCCACCTGATGAAAAAGGACTTCCAATCGATGTTGGTTATCAGTACACAACTTTCCCTGAATTGCAAGAAGAATTATTTGTCTTGGATAATGATAAAGATAAAGAGAGTATTGAATCTGGTTCCCTGAAAGGAGGCACGCTTGAAAAACAGAGAAGAAGATCAGGAACTTTTGTTATTGGACGAAGGACGAAACAAGAAATAAAAGTCACACAGAAGGTGGTTTCCAAGTTTGTGTTTATAAAAAGATTTGTTCATATTATTTATAATTTGTTAAAATTTATATGAACCACAGAAAATTCTCAATATGGCACCCCTGTATATTAGTCATTAGCATTCAGCATTTGTCATAGATTACAGTTAAAAATACCAAGTCTTTGTAGAAAATGGACATTTGGCAGACAATGCTTATCGATTAAAATGTGTAGCAATTTCTTATTTAACCTAGCCTTTATGCCACTAGTTTGGTAGATAATATTTAACAATATTAAAATATTTTTAGCAAGCAAAATTGTACAGCTCAAATCCACAGATGTGGGCTCGTCTATTGTTATCAAACACATACAGTGTTTGGTATGGATGTTTAACGGAACTTGTCCGACAAAGTAACTCAAAAGCTGCTGTACTTCGAACAAGCCATGATATTCTTTACCTGATGAAAGAGAAAGGATGTATGCCACTGCCTGACGAGACGTGTTATCGCGTATTAATGCACTTATGTACACTGTACAATAAACCAGTCCTCGCAGTTCGTGTGTATAATTTTGTTCGTGATTCTGGGACTCAATTGAGTGCGATAACATATGGACTTTATAACAAGGCTGTTTATGAATCAACATGGCCGTCATCAAACAGAGATGGGTGAGTTGGAACAATATTCTGGGACTTAGACATAAAAAGAGGATTAACTTTATAAGAACTTAATCTATTATAGCCTTCAATTTTTTGCCTGCTTTGGTAATAATGTGGGACTGTCTTCGCACTATAACATTGGCCTTATGAATCGGTCTGTATATTGACAACTTAATAGTATGTTGAATTTCGGTGGGCCAATACAATCCGAGACTATAGATAACATTTATGTTCAGAAGCGCAGTGTTAACACATAAAGACATAAAGAAGAAATAAAAACATCACATTTTATTAAAACATAAGTTGTAAGATTTGCTTTGGTGTTGTATACTAGATTGATGAAATATGATTGCTAAAATGGTGGAAGCCTGTTATACTAATGTCATATTTTTTGTGCTCAAGGTACATGTTATGGCAAAAATTACGCAACGTCATTATTGCAACAGCTAAATTAAGGAGATTGATTCGGCATGTCGATTCGACTAGTACACCTGATTATTCAGACACAAAAAGTGATTTGGATTCATTAAGTCAGAATAGTTCTGATGCACCTAATAAACATTCATCTCCAAAGCAACAGTCAGAGGACAAAGATGGGAATCATACTGAAATAACAAAGTCTGATAATACAGGTAAGATGAAAGACTAATGACTTCTGTTGCATCACAATACTTTAGATTAAAATATGATTTTCCATGGTCATCATTTTGATTTCTTTTTCCATTTCAAATATGCTAAATAATGCATGAGTTATTCAATAAAAAAAATTTCCTGGTATTCTTTTGAAATTTTTAATTTTATTCGAATGTTTGTTGGTTTTGTTTGGGAGTTTGTGTTTCTCTACTTAGTCATGAACTAGGAGAAGCATGTTCTAATCCTGTGTGAAATATTTTTTGGGATGGTGACACGCCTTCACTGCCAACAATTCTGTAAATGCATTCAATTATATGTAAGCTATGTGACTATTTTTGGAACGACTGTGAATGTCTTCAATTAGGAAATTTCTGTCAACATCCTGAAAAAGCATAGGCCAAATGTTCTAATCACTTGACTTGTGTGTGTGGGAAATACTGGGCCTTTGACTTTGTCTTCAATTTTGATTCACAAAAATCATTGAAATAATTCAAATTTGATCATGAAATTGTCGCATGCTTGTCATTGTCTCATGCTTGTGCTTCATAATCTTTGATCAGAACAAACTCACAGAGGACGTTTAGTTGAGCCACCTGCAACACTGTCCTTAACTGAAGTTAATAAAGTAGAACAAGGTGGTGGAGATAATCAAACAAATATCAATAAACCAATCAGTTTTGAGACTGAAATTTTGGTGAAGAAAGCAATGACACCTGTTAGCGAGACAGGGAATGATGCAGACACTCCTACTTCCAATAATATATCGTCACCTGATTCTATTCATGGACGTTGTAATTCAATTGTCAAAAATGCAGGTTTGTTTAGCATATTCATCTTTCAACATGTTGTTTCATTTCCCCCTGATTTGCTTTTTAGACTAGTATTTCCAAATATGTATACCGTATATGCTCGTTTTACTGCCCGATCTTGATTAAGGGCCCGTTTGAATAGCCGCCCGTGTGAACAGAACATAAAAATAAATAGGGGCCGGTGCTTGGATAACCGCCCGATGTGATTTTTCAGTGGTAGAAAACAATAGGAAATAAGAAGCACTTTTGTCACAGCGCTGTTGAATTTTAAGCGCTGGTAGATAACACTCACGCCTTAAGCGTCCAATGACATAACAGATAGCATTGATTACGTAACACCGTGGTTCTCAAACTGGACGTCGGGACGCCCAAGTGTGTCGTTTTTTAATATTGATAGGGCGTCGCAAAACTTTTCTTCTTTTGTGGATTTGTGCGGTGCGTGGAAAAAGTCAAAATTTTTGTTATTCTCCTTTAAATCATACTTGAGAACTGGAAATGACAAAAAAAGTTAAAACAAAGTGAAAATATATGATTCAATGACTTCCTATGCATATGTAGGCCTATGTGTCTTCGCTGAGCATGGTTGTGTATGATCAGATTTGGATGTTGAATGTACAAGTTTAGTCAACTTCCGAATGCATGAGGCTGAATGTAAAACTGAATCTGCGTTTTTGTTCATTTTTTTAGCTGAGATATCACCAGTGTCAACTCCTCTTGCAGAAGAGCCTGAAGATAATGGAATTTTTTATGGAAAATCAATCAAACACGAGGTAATATGTTGTTTATCTTGTTCAGTTTCTTGTAGTAAGTTTGTCTGTTTCAAACCTAAAGACAATGCAGTATAAGGGAACAAGTTCAATATGAAGAATATTATATTTTCTAGTTTAAACAGAACATGGTATGCGCATAGTTTCTGATGAGTTGGGCGAATGATCCAGATGTTCGTAAAATTACCATTATATTACAGGGTATAAAACAGAGGGCGTATTCAGCACCTCGTCGACTATCTTCACCAGGAACGCCCGGCAGTGACGGAAGTCATGCAGACAATCATCAACAACAGAGAGAACTTCGCAAAAATGATCTCAAATACTTAACAAGGCAAAGATCTGCTTCTGACCACATACCTGACAGAGAATCCAGTGAAAACGTCGGCTCTATTGTCGAAAAAAAATCATTTTTTGAACCTTCACAAGGAGACTCTGGTGTGTCTCTTGCCGAGGATCAGAACTTAAGAAATAATTTTGATAATATGACAGCAGATGATATTGTTACTCCCTCACCCCAAAAATCTCGAAGTTATATTTCTAAACGATCAAGGGCTAGATCAAAGTCCGGAAATAAAATTCATTCGCCAGCATCTCCAGCAAAAAATTCAGAATGGAATAACACAAATAATACTTCAATAACTACAGGTAGAAGTTCTTGTTTTTCAAAGATTGATATGGAAAGCTTATGCGAATTAGCCTGAACATATCTCAGATTGGATATATATAGCTCAGTGGAATAAAAACACGAAACCTGCAATATATATTTTCTGGGCTTGATTTCATGCTAGTGATTCGATTTTATTATTACGAAATCACATTTATTGTTGCTAATTTCACATTGATGAACATCTATAAATTTACTATTTTCTATTTTATCCTAACTGATTCAAGAGTCTCTTGAATCACTTAGGATAGTTATCTTTACTCTTGCTACAGCATCCTTGCACTATACGGATCCGCCGACACAAAAGCATAGAAGGATAAGTAGTTAGTCTCGCAGAAACCAAATCATTAGCACAAGTTTCTATTTTATGATGTGATTTAAAATTGAAACATTTTTAACTTATTTTGTATATATTTTCTTTTCTAGATCAAAATAATATGCAAAAAGACAAATCCTCTCCTGTAAATGGTACGACAGCTATCACTCGAAAGCCAAGTCAAAAACAACTAATAGAAAGAATGGATGTTACACATCTTGCACTTGATCCTTTGTCACCGCCTCCAACTTTGAACACAAGATCATCTGATCCATTTGACGATAATTCATCAACAGACGCAATGTCAAGTGAGAATTTTTATGAATCTTTTACACAATCGTTTTAAGATTACACAGCCTAAATCAGTTCTGCTAAAGTGGAACATTCTGCTATTCTCATTTGAGGTTAATTTGTGTATTGCTAGAGAGGAAGGATTTTGTTTGGATTAATGATTTCCTTATACAGCACAGCAGGCAATACGCTCTAGATGAAATTGACAATGCACTTTTATTAATGCCATTCCACTAAAATAGAAATCCCTTTTCAATAATCAGAATTGCCTCAAACCCGAAAATACTTTCATTATTGAACTTTTGATTCTGTGTGAATAGCAAACCAGCTATCATCGATATAAAAGATATACAGATGTTATAGTTTTCAAAATTTTTGTTGATGGGATTTAGAATGAAATTTTTATTATAAATGGATTTAAGTCAAAATGATAAAAATTTATATACCACAGTTTTATTCAGAAAATGAATGCAAAAATATTAAAATTCTCAAGAATAGTTAATTGAATTGATACTTTAGAAATAAGTTTAACTGCATTGAATCCGTTATTTATTTTCCAGAAAGTGACAGTGGAGGGCGTCATCTTCTTGATGAAATCCAACAATATATGACAAGAGATGATCCAACATTTGATCAGTCACAATCCACAATGGATAGTGTAGGCGAGGAAGGGAGTTTGTCAACTGAGAGTGCTATTGTGTCACAAGAAGTAAGAATAAGATGTCCTGACATTTTATCACAACTTACTCAAGTTTTTGTAAATTACCAAGATTTATGTAAATGGTTGAATCAACTCTTTCCTGACAGTTTTATTTTTTTCAAATAACTCTTCTTGGCTGGAAAAATGTAAATACATCAGTTATCATAGAGTTAATGTTTTGGAATTGTTATTTTTATTCATTATTCAAAAAAATTGAATTATTTGTATTGAACTCGATAGGATGAGAGTGATTCTGAGACACCCAAGCGTCGTGGTAGCATACATGGAGAAGGAACACCTCCACGTAAACACCCTCCTCCTGGACTACTAACTAGGTATTTTAGAAACAGTTGAGATATTTTTGAACCAAGTCAATGTAATGTAAAGTAAAAATATTTTCATTACTGTGACAATAGATAGTAATATATATTTATAGATAGCTGATAATATCAACATGACTAATGTCCTGTCAATTATGAATTGTTTCAATAGAGATACAATATATGACTGAAATATCAATTTTTATACATTAATGTTCTGATATAATAAGTTTCAGAATTTGTGATTCAAAATTTGAATGAAAGGCATTTGGTTACGTTGACATTCCTTGAGGGTGAATTCTGTGTATGAGTGAATTTCGTAACTGATCCGGGATTTTTATTTTTCAGATCATTCACATTTGCACCTGGTTCAACCTTATCGAGTGGATTGATGAATTCTGGTTCCAAACTTAATAGCTTGTTCAAAGCAACAACTAGTAAAGCGAAACAACTGGCAACTAGCTTTGCAAAAGATATCAATAACACCGTACAATCCAATCTTGCCTATTACACCCCTGAGAAGGTAACAACTGTAGATCTTACAAAAACAAGAAATGGTTCAAAATCTTAAAAAGCCTGTATTTTTTTTTGAAGTTTTGGCCGAGGCTGAGAGATTGAGTTTTTCATGCTTTTATTTATATTGGGGCCAGAGTCTTTTTTTGAAGCTGAATAAAAAAAATTTTCCTCTGTAAGTCTGATTTTCAGCCTTATAAAAGTGGTAATTCAATTCAAATTTTGATGGAAACTATTAAAGTATTAAGGCCACTAAGCATTCTTAATATACAATTGAAGAAGGCTTGTTTACTCTGAAGTTTTTGTGCTTCGAGATTGAGTCGATATTTTCTTGCAACTTGTAGTTCCCAACGAGGAGTTGCAACTGGAGTCATTTTTCAAATAGCTTGGGAATTTTCCTCGACTCCACTGCTATGATTTTAGCATTAAACTCAAATGAAAATGGTGAAACATTACGAGTTGTCGCTAAGTAAAACAAAGTAACCTAATGGTTCATATTGCATTTTCATTTGGCCTTTAAATTGTAATTATTATGAAACTTTTTTTTATATTCAGTTTAAAGGATCATTGTCTGAATTAACAAGAGATGAGTATGGAGGATCAAGCTCTCACCTAAGAAAAAGTCGAGATGATTTGTACAGCAGCCAATCAAGCATAAGAAGTTCTGATAGCAAACAAAGTGGATTCGATATTACAGGTACGATGTGATGAACAGATAATTGCACAATTGCAGTAGTTTAATAAGCTGTGGAATACCTGTTATTTTCCCCTATGACATGTAGAACTATCTAGATATTGTGTTGTGACTTATGACACAGACATTTTGATGTGATATTTGTTCAAATGGTAGATGGATGTTTCCCTCAACCATAAGTGATAGCTGTATTTTGATATTCCAATATTTTGCTCCAAGTGTAACTTGTGTTCTTCATGCCTTAAATGTATTTGATGCCTTTTCAAGCTGAGATTTTTTATGTGATTTTCAAAAAAGGTTTTGAATAGATTAGGTGGCAATCATGACCCTGAAAACGTTTTACATTTTCATTTTTAAGAATTCGCTCAAAGCAAGGTAGTAATACACATTCAGTTCGAGACAAAGTCGCTGGTGACCATTGAAATGCTTGGAGCTACTGAAACCACATTATTTAGAAATTGATTTATATTTTTCGTGTAGGTTCGATGACGTTTAAAGGTACAAATGAAGTTGACAGAAGAAAAAGAGAAGATACCAAACATAATTATCGTCCAGTTAGTTATCCATCAACAAGTAATGTTATAAAACTATTTTATTCACTTCAGTTGAAGTTGCATATAACTATTATTATATATGTTTCAACAATGATTTTCATAAATAGATAACAATTCCCTTTAAAATCATATTACAAACAGATTGTATTTTTGGCAATAGGAAACTCATGAAAACAAACTATAATGTTATTTTGTTGTTCATCATGCTATTGTTAAGTCTTTGTGGAAAATGTGGAATCACTGTAAAATCACACTAATATTATTCTGATTTTTTGCAGCATTAGGTGAAAATTCATCTCATCTTGAAGTACCTGGCAGTAATATGAATACTGCACATCTCCATCTGGCAGCATCCATCAACTCTTTAAATACTAAGGTAGTTACATTTTATATCAATTTCATTGTTTCTCATTGGTTTACAACATCATTTTATAACAAACAATAATTTTCAATCTCATTTCATCCTGAAAGATTTTCAATTAGTTTCTTTCCGTTAACATTATTTAATTTGGGGTAAATCTGTCTTAAGTTGTAAAAAGTTTCCAGGAGTTTAATTATCATGATGCTTATCTTCTTTTCTCTTGGACATTTATTAAGTCTAATTTTTACTTAAGCACCACCATTCATGTCTATTTTAATTGTCAGTTTTATATTTGTCGTTCCCATAAGCATGATTTTACATGATATTTAGTTAGTCCCAGTTCCGAATCGCCCAAATTTAAATGAATATGGTTATATTAGTTATTACCTGATCTTAATGATTATCATGTCATCCAGGGTACTTGTGAACTTGATATAACACTGTCAAGTTGTTCCAAATGTCAAAAATGTGAATCTCTTGTTTACGATGAAGAAATTATGGCGGGGTGGATGGCTGATGAATCTAATCTCAATACTCAGTACGTTTCTTAAATATTACTTTATTTTAGTTGGATTTCCAAAATTAAATGCATTTATTTTACGAAGAAAAAAGCTTTTGCATTTCTTGCTCATATGTATATGGAAAAGTCTCTTTTTTGTCAATACATGTGAACTTGGTGTAACTGTGGAAAATTGGAAAACTAATCCAAATATGTTTATCTTAATATTTGTATATAGTTTTTGAATTCAATCTTTGTAAAGAAACACTGATTAACTTCTAAAATAAGCCTTCATCAATTTGAAATCTATTCAGTATTCCATGTTAAATATGTCATATATGGATAACACTTTTTTCTTAGTTTGGTTCCTCATTGTGAAATGATTTGTTCTTTTTTCATAACTGATTTTTTAACCAAGTTTATTTTTGTTTTTGTTGCTTCATATATAGAAATCATGATGTGATCGAATTCGTATTAGATTGATTTTTCGTCATTATTAAAAATGACTTTCACTTGTTATTCTTCAAGTGACAATTAATTACTCTATAATGTTTTTCAGTTGTCCATTCTGCAACTCACTGTTCGTTCCAGTTCTTCATATTGATATCAAGGTTCGTTTCGTTGGTGTTGTATGATAAATTTTCAATGATTTGTCTCTGTTTTTTTTTCTGATTCGAGTGATCCCAGACACTAGAACAATATCACATTACCCATGATGCCCAGCAGCACAAGCAGCCGTGGGTGTGAGTCATTTGTCCCAAACCTAGTTCAACGAAATTAGACAGTTGCACCTTCTAAGCTATGTTTAATACACCTTGGACAAGGTGCTTAGTCATTTTGCATTAACAGGGATTTACAGCATGCTAACTTCTCGGCCATCATGATCAGCATAATATTAGTGATAGTAGTTTATACTTGGGAATTTGTGTGAATATATCTCCCTTCATTTTCAGGATTACAGAAGAAAAAGTAAGAAGTCAGCACTTCATACAAAAAGATCAAACACTTCATGTATGTTGCTCCTAATAAAGTTCTAATTAAAAAAATACTGATTTGCAACAAAAAGAAAAGCAAAATAAATTATCACCATAACAATCATGTTGAGGATATTAACATTATTTTTCCAGCAACAACACAAGATGATGATGACCTGGATGGATCATATCTTGAAGAAAATATTTCTGCGAAAGATGAAAACAAAAGCATGAAAAGGTATGCTATATTTTAAATAAATACAAGTTTACTTTGATGTTCTACACGTGCATTTGCACTTCAATGCTCCCATATCTTTTATACCATATTAGCAAATTTAATTGTTACGTATGCATAACGTCCTACGAGAATAAACATGAAAAAAATTAAATAATGCACGGCTACATGTTGTGGCATCATTAGTTTAGGAAAGTTTATTAGATTTTTAGGAATTATTCTTGCTGTTTTGTTAACTTAAATTATTAGTACAAATATGTTTTTTCAGAAAAGGGAATCTTTCACCCCCGTCAATTTCAGAGCCTGGTGATGGGGTATGTATTACTTTCCTTCATCTACTAGTCAGATTCCTGAAGTTAGAAATTCCATTCACATCTATATTATGATGAGCATGATATGTTAATTTGAAAATAAGCAGTATCATATTTATCTTGCTCTATCTGAGTCTCCAATTGGCATAGGACAGGGGTGTCCAACCTTCAATACAGAAGGGTTAGATACGAATAACTGGGTGAAACGGCGGGCCCCACCTTTATTTAACATAGGCTTTCTAGTAGTTGCAGGCAGAAAAATTTTGATTATTGATTTTATGCAGTGCAAAGGTATTGGAATTACTTGTACACACCAGATTAAACTAAATTAAAAATTTGTGGCACTCCTCCGTGGGCCGCCCATTCTTCCCTTGTGAGTTGCATTTGGGCCATAGGTTGCACACCTCTGGCATAGATAGAATATCCGAGCATAACTCAACTGCAGTATACTTAACTGTAATTTGCGGATATGGGCATAGATAAAAATTCAATTTGGATGTTTGTGAATCGGGTGATTTTGTCTCCCTGCCATGCTACATCAGTTTGTTCTTTTTATAGACATTCACAATCATGGAGCCAATCAATGTACCATACCTAAGTCCTTTGGTCTTGAGAAAAGAATTGGAGAGTATGCTTGAGAATGAGGGTACAAGGGTGTTGGGAGAACCTGACTTTGTTGATCATCATCCTATTGTATACTGGAATTTTGTAAGTATATTTGTTAAGTATTTAAATATCAATATGATGATCTCGGAACATTTATATAATTTATGAATGAATAGACAAACTCGCGCATACAGCCATTCTTGAAAATGTCGTTTGTGCAATCTTTTAGTGTTCTGAATTCTCAATTTTTTTCTTGCTGCTATTTTGCCACACTTGTTTGTAATCGTAATAATAAATTGAATTCTTTGATATGTTTTACCTCTAAACAAGGCTACGTACAATCAATTAATGCATCGAACCAAGGGTTAGGTGGTGGTGATGGGGTCAAACCCAAGACCAAGATATTCAGCCATTCAAAAGCCTATTGTTCAGTAGGTAATGATTTGGCTCAGAAAATTGTGGAGTCAACTCTGCATCATGTATGTATTTGTTGGAATCATGACATATTGGATATTAGTGCATTTTCACAAAGTAACAGAGTGTGCATAACACGAAAGAGCATTTCTATTTTTGCTGTTTTTTCAATTGGTATGGTGATAGTATATGTTCACGTTCTTTAGTTATAGTTCGTTACTTGTCTTATATTCGAAAAACAAATTTGAAAATTCAGATACAATCAGTGACATATCGTTATTTCTATCTTGTATTTTGCAGGTATGGTATTTCCGAAGATTGAATTTACACTCAAATCTGTATAATCTAATTTTGAAGTCTAATCTTGTAAATAAAGATGTCGATACAACTAATGAAGCTACTAATAATGATGGTTCGAAAAGAAGTACAAGTGGTGTGGTTGTAATCCATATCATGTGGGACAATTTGAAATTGCATGAAGGAATGGCAAAACCTCCATTATATTGGTCTTATCTTCAAAGTATGTGTTTTTAATATGTTGTTTCTTTTAGAATTAGATAATAAATTATACAATTATAGTTATTTTGGGTCTGCGACCTTCTTTCCCCATTGTAACTCAATATCAAAATATTAGTGATGTATTTGTACGAGTTGGAGCAAATTCAGTAAGCAGTGACTCAAGCATGGTGAGGCTATCTAAAAGCTACAAGAACCAGTGAAGTGTCATGTGCTATTCTGTTTTTTTACCGTTTTTTATGACGGAAAACTTTTCATCATGCAACATGATCATGGCACATCATTATTTTTAAAATGATTAATTTTATTTTTCAGTGTGCACACCCAATTCATCTGTTGAAAATCATGCTTATTCCCTTAGTTTTCTTGAAAATATGAAGCAAAGTATAAAAGCTGATGATGTCCGAGGACCCCTTGTTGCTTTGTTAAATGAGTTTTCTGCTCAGAATTATACTCACTCACAAGTTCGAAGAAGTGCATATCGTGAAATACTCTTTTTGATTATTGTTGCACTTGGAAAGAATTCAATTGATATTGGTGAGTACTTTTATTTAGATAATATTACAGTAATAGTTAGCTGAGAATGTTTCTGGACAAAAATACCAGGTTATTATACATAAGATAATGTGATAATAATTTGCTAAAAATTGTCATCTAATCATTTTCTAATCAATTGTCATCATAATTTTCATTTTCAGATGCCTACGATAGAGTGTACAATGAGGCATTTGATTCACTTACCATGCAAGAACTTGGCATGACGAGAAAATGTGATAAACCACCCAGAACTAATACAAGAGAATGTAGAAATATATTTGGTGAATTAAATCTCTTATAGTGTTTTTTAAAATCATAAGATATTCTATGGAAGCAGGCGAAATTTGTAATCAATCATGAGAGCAAGCATGTATATTGGTATCAGAGCTTGTCTCCAATCATAACACCATCATCGTTGACATCACACCAATCACAATAAATGATTCAAATTCACAAATCAAAGTGTCAAACTCTTTTAGAGCTAGATGAAAGGACTTAAAATGTATTGCGATATTTTAGAAATATTTTACCGTGTCTAACTCTAATTTTTGAATATAGTAATAACATAAAAATACTAAATTTAATTGTCAATTCACAATCCCTTTTGTCTCAAATTTTTCTTGTTTATTATCTGATAATGATAGAATATCAGGTATGTTTATTAGTGAAATTAATCTCTTGGAGAAACAAGCAGGGCTGGGGAGCTGGCTTAAAATCAGTGTGGCTCCAACTCCAGAGCCAGAGTATATTCGAGCTATGGCTCCGACTCCCAACTCCGGAGCCTAATTTTTTTAGCCCGGAGCTGGCTCCAGCTCCGGCTCCGCACACTATAATGTATTTGATAGTACCGCTAAGCTTATCATTCACAAAAAAGTCAATGCCCCACTGTTATTTATTTCATGATTTTATCACACACTTGGTAAGGGAATCATGAAAAATCAAGTTAACACTTAATATTGTGAGTTTCAATGGATATCTTATATTACTATATTTCCCGGCTGTTATAGACCCCATTTTTTGGCCTGAGGCATCTTATTGGGCAGCTAGGCTTGCTTGATTTCTGTGGCCAACTGATCAGCGTATTTTTCGCAGATGTTTTCTCAAACATGATTTGTGTTAATCGTACATTTGGGTTGATATATTTTATTTTGTGAAGAAAAGATTTACATATAGGAACAGATAAAAGAGCTTAAACATATGGCGAACCACGGCCATACTTAAATTAAATCACATTTGTAAATAAGTATGTAACACAAATTTCACTTGGTAAATTGCTTTTGAACAATAGAATGACACTCTGAGCCCTATTCTATAAACTACAGTCGATGCAGGACAGAAAACGTGAAATGCAATAATCTTTGTATATGGAATTTTGGAACACTCAAAAATAACAACTTGCCTATTAAAAGTAGTTTTAATTACCGTATGTATGATCTTGCCAAATCGTTATCGCCTTTTAAAAATACCAAGATCCGTGATATAATCCAACACTATTTACTTTAGAACAATAGTAACTTGATTAATTATACAACTATTTAGTTCTGTTAAGTGTTTGGAGACGCCAGAAATTATAGAATTAAAATCGGCGTAATTATTATTTCTCAACCCTAGAAATTATTAAAAAATCAGAAAAGTAAAAAAAAAAAATAATTCTATTGTCAGGAGCAGGAGCCGCTGAAATTTCTGGCAGCTTCGGCTCTGGCTCCAGCTCCATCTATCATGGCCATCTCAGCTCCAACTCCGGCTCCATCAAAATTACACGGCTCCAGCTCCGACTCCCCAGCCCTGGAAACAAGTAACTTACCTAAGTGATGCTATTGTTAAAATACATTACATTAGTTTGAATTGGTTCACTGAATTGCCAAGAGATATCGACTTCCAATACTATGATGAAATTTTATACATTTGCAATACACACTTTCTAAGAGTATAAGTTTTGATGTTGATAATTTGGTGAATATACCAGCTTGTTATTATAGTTTATAAAAAGATAAATGCTGGACAAAAATTTCAAGATTAGACTCAGTTCATGGTTTACGGATTTTTGGAGTTAATTTATTTTCACTGTTTTAGAGCTTCAAAAACAATCATGCTTTTATAGCTGCCATTGCAATGTGTGATAATTGAATTAAAAATTACCATAATAAGGCTTGTGGAAGCCATGGGTATATTTTTATGCTTATATGTAAGGGCAGTTCTACACATTCAACATCATGGATTACAAAATTGAGCTATCAGTTCATTTTAAGTTGATTTAACTTATTTGTTGTCATCCAATGTGAAGATATGCTTATAATTTAATTTAGATGGCTTTCCTCTGCATGTACCTAAATTGCATAGCTAATAATTCAATGCTGACTTAGATTATCTGTATCTCTAATGAAAACAAAATGATAATATGCGAAAATAATTCTTTTATTAATGTTTTATCCTTGTGTACTAGTTTTGGAAATTAAAAGTTTAGACACTATGCTTCACTACTAAACTGGTTTTTATTGTTGGAAGTAGTCGTTGCATTTTTGATGGGAGTTTCTTGTCTTTGTTCTGCTTATGTGGCCACTGTGCAGCCATCATTTACGAATTTTGTTGGACCAAATAGGAATAATATTTGATTTGTCAAATTTCAAGTGTGCAAATTCAATCTGACAGATTGAGTTCTATTGTTTAATATTCAAAACGGGAGAAATATAATTTTGCAATAGTGTCTGGTAAATTTTGCCCAATTGAAACCTGATTATAGATGCTTCGGACTTCGGACAAATAATTCATGCCAATTGCAATACCTACTTTAATATCTCTGGGCAATTATGGTGTGAACGGTTTGGTATGCTTGAAATAAAAGCGTGGTTTTATCAATCATTGCTCTCTGTTTTTAAATTGTATATTTTGATGTAATAGATCGAAATTCTACAAACTGTCTTTTGATGTCATTTAATCAGGTGTTCAGTAACCTTTCCTACTGAATACCCCAAATGGAAGGAACATAGACAAAATTCGTGCTTTGTTGGATCGGAAGGTTACCTTTCGGTTCTTAAATTAAATCCATTCTAGAATATGATATGCAAACTTTAGTTTGAATATTTTAAATTGTTAGCGGAACAAGTTTGAAAATTTTGGATTGTATATATATTGAGAAAGTTTTGAATACCTGCTAGCAACTTAATGCCTGCTTTGCTCCTAAGCAAACTGCCTCTATGAACCCTACATGGTTCATATTATAAGATCAATGTTTCACGCTTGGCGCCATGAATGGTTGAGAAATTTTTTGTCAGATATTCATACCTTTACTGTTTACGTAGATAATATTTGTTGTTTTGTCTTAATTACTCATCATGTTTATATGCCGTCTTCATATAAAAGTATGAAATAAATTTTAAGTGCGGTACTTTAAAGATCGGATTCAAATGTATTTACCATTGTATTGATTTGTTTGGGATTATCCAGACCTGGGAGGATCAAACTGAATATTTTTACTTAATTTAATGTGTTAGCTACACAACAAGAAATCGTAGAACTGCGCTAATCATAATTGGTTAACCGATCAAAATGGCGTAAATCCTCCAAAATGTGAGGTGATTGGTTTGAAACACACCGATTGTTAAGTTTTTTGAACGTTGCTGTTGATTGGCGTAGAGGCACAATGCGAATAACAATGAGCAGGAAGAAGACTTTTGAGAAAACTGAACAGCATGGTGCTAATCAGAAATCCAGACTTAGAAAGTCTTCAATGTTATGTAGGTTAATGAATCCCATTATACCCCATAACTCTATTTCGTTGTGCAAGAAATCACAAATAATTCAAGCATAATTATTACACATCAGTCGTTGGTCTGCTACACCTAGATTTAAAACGAGTCAGAAATACAGAAAAAGCAATGAACTCGAAGAGGAACTCGAGCCATTTGAAAACTTAGCGACAAAGTAGGGACAAGTGTTGGATAATCGGGAGAAATCTTAAATACGGAAATTTGTAAAAAATCTAAATAAGGGTAAGACAATTGACACACTGGGCATGAAATTTAGGGGTTGAGTGTAAATAATTGTATGGAGACGAAGACCAAAACGGAAGTACCAATAGTACGGGTACCGGGTATGCGATTTGTCACAGTACACTACCGGTACCGCAATACTTGGGACTAACGCGAACCCGGAGCCGCCACAGATGCAAGATTTTTTGGTGACGTCATGACACACAAAAACGAACGATATAGAGCCCACAGATACTTTTAAAAGGAATGAAAGTAATATCCTTCTAGCGAAAAATACAATCGTTAACCACTGCAAATTTTAAAGCCATTACCGACTTAATAGAGGGTGACGACTGATGCCAAAACCACTTTTTGAGGGGACGCTGCGGTCTTGCGTATTCGCATGTGGTTGGACGGTAGATGATCCGAGAGATGCTGTACTAAAGTAGAATTTTCGTAATATGTCAGTGTTTTGAGGTACACGATAGACTTAGTTTGACACGATATCCGGTCTTCTGACGGTACCGGTACTGCAATACCGGTACCGGTACTGGTGCACCACTGCTAGGTACCGTACCGGTACTCAACCCAACCGACAAATAGACCGTGGTACTGTACATGTTACTTAACATAGGTTGGTCAGTATTGCATTTATAATATTAAAAAGATTGCTGAAGCAACATTTACACACAGCGAGCTTTTCGAAGCAGGTAGGCTACAACAGCAACCGCGCGTAGTCTGAAACGGCGCGGTTAGGCAAGCGTCCCCTTAAAATACCAAGCGAATAATACAATCCTTGACCATTGTAAATGTCAAATGTTGTGTCTCATAGTTGAAACCCCTTGACTGAAAGTGTTAACAACGCTCTCAGCTTTTATTTGTCGTATTGTGCCGTAGCGAGAAAAGAGAAAAAAGTTTCAGCCATCGATTAGAACAGTGGTTCCCAAACTTTTTTGACCATCGCCCCCCTAAAGTAGTTTATACAACTTCATCGCCCCCCTGCACTACAAAAAAAATATAAAGTCAGAAACGAATATATTACAGACCAAATAAGAAGACAAATCATAATTTATAGTGTTTTTAATGAGATAGATGATCTTGGTGTTCTTCAGCGAGTTTTTTTATTATATATATCTAAAATTACCCCATTTACTGATGGAAAGGTGATTTCGTTGTTTTAATAGCAATAGTAGCACGGCTGAAAACCCCTTTTTCACCATATAATAGGTCGGAAATGAAAGAATCCAGGGTTCTACCTCCTCAAAAACCGCCGTGTACTCTTGCCTTATAGCATTTCACTACCTAAATTCACCCCATTTCACATTAAAATAATAAAAACGAAGTTAATTTTCCCAAACTTATAATAATAATTTTCGTATAATTTCATTCATTCGTACAGCCTGATGACCTGCGCCAAAATACTTCGGAAAAATCCATCCCCGATTCCTCATCCTATCACGGCCTCCAGTCCGATCACCAGTTCATAATTAACCAGCCATTTGTTTTTGGATTCATGGACTCGGATGTGGAAGAAGCCGTCATTGACTATCGGCTACGGCCCAGGGGTCGGCAAATTTTATGTCGTTCGCAGGAAAAAATTCAGGATTGCTGGTTTTTTGCGGGTCGCATATATTTTTTAAAAACGGAACACACGCGAAAACTGCGACAATTCGTGAACTCAACTCAGTCGTCTTATTAAAAAAATATTACAATGACATTTAAT